GAAGAAGGCAATATGGCGCTTTTTGAAAATCTTAAGTTATCTCCCTTATCTTGCTCAAGCATAGATATAGCCATTTTTGCCTGGGATAGCTGCTGTTCATAGAGTTTTATACGGTCACGAAAGGCTTTCATAGCCAGCTCATCCAGGGTGAGCTTAGAGCTTCGAGGAGAATAATGAATTGTTTCTCTCTCTGTGTGGGAGGAATTTTGCTCAGCAGTTTGCTTTAGCCTTGCATCGAGCGTTACAAATTCAGAAGGTTCTGGGAAGACTTTTTCAGAGCTTGGAAGATCAGAAGAAAATGTTACTGACCTCAGTCGTAAATCATCATCTTCAAAAACAGCTTCTGTCTTATCTCCCTCCATTTCTGTTCCCACGGCTTTTTCTTGTTCCAGGCATGTGGCTGTAGTAAGGGGCTGGAAATCTGAAAATCTCCTGTCTGCCACCTCTTCGTTAGAAAGATCAATCAAATCATTTACGAAGAGTGGTCTTGGTTTCACTTTGCCTTTTTTCTTCTGTTTCGGCATCTTAGCAATATAATTAGCGTACCTCAGTAGCTAAAAACTAATTGCCTATGCGCTCTTATCAGAAGTAACAAAACAAGGAAAAAAGCCATAAATCAACCATCCTCGTGCTATCAGATGTCAGGGCATTTATTAATCCCATGTTTGGCTCTGGGACTAATTACCCTGGTTTAGATTAGAGGAGATGAATCGAGGCTTATTCCTTGTTGCAATATTCCGAAAAAGAAACGCGAGAAAGGTTTCTAATAAAATTCATTTATTTGTTATAAAGAAAATAAAACACCTCACTAACTAAGAAAAGTTAATTGTTACATTTTGGAAGTAATTTGGGCCAGCTGCCTTTCAGCAACCGGCACCCATGGCAAGAGAACAAAGGGAAGAGTGTGAAGGAATGTGGGTGGATACGGAAACACGTAGCTTACTGATAAGAAGTTGGCAAAGCTACGGAGTCAGATAGTCCAGAAATAATGAGCTCAGCTGGTAAATAAAATAACGCAGTGACAGTTCAGCAAGTCTAAGCCACGCCCAGACTACAAACTGTCTCTTATGGCCCCATACAAATACTATGTTTCAGTTTCCAAACAGTCCCCATTAGCTGACCTGTTACCATGTCTATTCCAGCTATGAATATTCATAATCTGACACTCCTCCCTTTATAATTGGAATAGAAATAAAACCAAATAACTTACTATTCTTCCCATGGTGTACTCCACCCAATGGCTTGGTCATTATGTCTGCCAAATTGTCCTCTGTAGAACAGTGAAGCAAGCTAATCAATTTACATTTGATGGCTTCTCTGACATTACAATATTTAATGTCCACATGCTTGCTTCTATTTTTTACTCTGTCACTTGTTGCCATTCCATTCATGGAGTCAGTTTCTTGATCAGTTGACAATCAACTTTTTATGCAGCAGCAACCACAATCTCCCACACACTGTTCAGAGAGGTGTACTGTTTTTCTTCACCGTAAATCTCCCGTTTAAGAAGGACCCATAAATTCTAAATAGGGTGTAGGTAAAGTGAGGAAGGGGGCCATGTCATTATTCTTTCATCTTTTAAGGCCTTTACTGGCTAGCCACACAGTGGAGTACTTTGAGGCATATGATGGAGCATTGTTCTGCATAAAAATCATGGTATTCTTGAAAGATGCACTTTTTCCCTGTACTACTGCTTGAAGAAAGTGTCTTCTAAAAACTGGCAGTAGGTTTGGGAGTTAAGTCCATCTTCAACCCAAAAAGGTCCAACTAGCTCATCTTTAATAATACTAGCCCATACCAATACCCCACCTCCACCTTGCTGGTGTCTGAGTCAAAGTGGAGCTCTATGCTAGTTATCATGTTTTCCCGAAAATAAGATAGGGTCTTATTTCCTTTAACCCCCGAAATATGGCCTTGGCCTTATTAGTGGGGATGGGGTGGGTGTCTTATTATTTTTCAGGTGCAGGAGACCCCTAAACTTCGGCCCACTGCAGGGGGACTGGTGCGGAAGTGCTGACCAGCTGCTTTGCCGGTGCTGCTCAGGCCGCTGCCTCCAGCAATCGTTGCAGCTTTTAATTTGCTTCCTGTGCAAACAGCACGAGGTGAGGAAGCGAGGCGGGGGGGTTGAACAGTGGGGGAACATGCCCCACATGTACCTGCCAGCTTCCTGGAATGGCTTTGCGGAGGCCGCTCCAGCAAACCGTAGCTTGCGCGCCCCTTCTCTTAGTGGCTGCAAAGAGCTCCCCACTGGAGCTGAAGCAGAGAACAAAAGGATGGCTGGGAAGAGTTTAAAAGAGAGAATCCAAGGTGCTGGTTCTCAAGTTACACACCACTGGGGGGGGGGAAGGAAAGGGGAGCAGGAGAAGAAGGGCTGGCTTGGATTGCAAAAGCCACGGACTGGCTCGATCGCCTTCCTCTTGAAGATCCTGCAGGGCAAACAGGAGATCTGGGGTTTGGGTGAGCGGCAGAATTCTTGCTTCTCCGCCTCCCCACCCCTCTCAACCTGCCACTCCCTCTCGCGGGCCAAGATCACCAAGCCTGATTCAGGGAGCTGAACATGCTGCTGCCGCCCAGGAGGAGAAGAACATCAGAAATGGGCTCTCTCACAGCGCCTCCTCTCTCTTCTCCTGAGTGGCAGTGGTGCATCTGGCTCACCGAATCTGGCCTGCTGATTTCGAGCGAAAGCGGCAGCAGCAGCAGTTCTGACCTGATCCTTGTTGGTAATGCTGCGGGCAAGAACCGGCCATGCTGATCCCGCTTCATGGCTGTGAAGACAGCCTGCACCGGCCACTGCTCGGAACTCTGGTACCGGTACCCCTCCCCCCAGGCTGACAGGGCTAGGGCTGGCAAGAGTTTGTTTGCGGCTGGTCTTTGCGGCTGCCACTAAGAGAAGGGGCGTGCAAGTTATGGTTTGTGGGAGCGGCCTCTGCGTGGCTGTTCTAGGTGGATGGCAGGTGCGTGTGGGACATGTTCCCCCTGTTCGCCCCCCGCCTCGCCTCCTCACCTCATGCTGTTTGCATGGCAGTTGCGCATGCATATAAGTTTTTTTTGGGGGGGGGGCTTATAGCGCGTGCGCTGGAAAGCCCAGTTGGGCTTATTATCAGGACATGTCTTATTTTCTGGGAAACACGGTACTGTTCCAGCCACGGGCCCATTTATCTGGTCTGTCAAGAGTCACTCATCTCATCAGTCCATAAAATCTTTGAAAAATCTGTCTTCAGATATTTTTTGGCTCAATCTTGCTTATGTGTCTTGTTCAGTGGTGGTTGGATTTCAGCCTTCCTTACCTTGGCCATGTCTCTGAGCACTGAACATCATGTACTTCTGGGCATTCCAGGTAGGTTGCAGTTCTGGAATATGACAGCACTGGAGGATAATGGATTCCTGGTAGCTTCACATTTAATTCTTCTCACATCTTTGGCAGTTAATGTGTGACTTTTTTTCTCAGCAAGTTTCTTGTGACGCAGTTGACTATTTGCAACAAAACGTTTGATGGTTCTGTGATCCTACCCCCAATATCTTAGCAATTTCAAGAGTGCTGCATGCCTCTGAAAGACTTTTTACAATTTTTGACTTTTCAGAGTCTGTTAAATCTCTTTTGTGGCCTATTTTGCCTGAGGAAAAGAAGCTGCCTAATAATTATGCACACATTGATATAGGGTTTTAATCTCCTTAGACCATACACTCCCTCATTACACAAAAACACATCACTGATATACTTATATCCACTAAGCATTCAAGTTTATACAGCTTGGAGATGTATAAAAATGATATGGTCAAAATACTCACTTGCCTAATGCTAAGTGCCTCGCTTGCACACAGTGTAAATTAACCATATTGTGGTTTAACACAGTAGCCTCATTCCCACAAGAATATAATTGGCTCAGTCCTCAAAACACAGGGATCCACACAATATCCAACCTTATTAGGACTTTTTGTAGATATTAGTTATTAAAACCTCTAGATCATCATCCCCCTCCAAGTGAGATCTGCACCCATCCCTTTGGCCTGAGAAAAGGGCCTGAAAACCTGGCTCTGCCAACTGATCTGGGCCCAAATGGAAATGTGTCATTCTGGAGGTGGTTAACGGACTGAGTTAAAACCCCCATCTCCTCCCTGTGTGTATCTGCTTTATTCTTTTCCATCTTTGTCAATTTAAATCAATTTTAGTGTTAATATTTATTATTTTACTTATAAACTGCCTAGAGTAGCCTCTAGGCGAGATAGGCACCATATAAATCTAATAAACAAGCAAACAAACAAACTATTCTCTAAATACTAAAACCAACCACCTATTAGAAGGCGAGTTCAATCGGGTTTACTCCCACAGAAGTGTAGATATGCCTACCCCAACATAGTGCGCTCCAAAGTACTGAATCCCAGCACGCGGCTACCGCTTGTCTGAGGATGATGGACCTTGTAATCCAAACCTTAGGAGTGGACCAGGCTGGGGAAGGCTGCTCTACCCACTTACCTGGGAGTAAGTCACACTGAACTCAGTGGAGCCTGTTTTCGGTTAGGCAGACATAGGCTACCGCGGTTTTGACATGGGGCCAGGCCTGCTTAATCAAGCCGATGTTTTGGGGTTGCCGGCCTGGCCCATAAGCGCCGCCTCTGCTGGGGCACTCACAGCGAATGGTGTGAAAGGAGGCTTTAGGGTGCCGTTCGAAGCTTTCGCCCAGCTGCAGAGGATGCTCCTCCTTGTCCAGCAGCGGGTTCGCCACGCCGTTCATGGCTACCGGGGCGGCCGCCGAGAACAACAAGAACCCCCGCAGACGCCCCGCCCGGCCGCCTTCTCTTCCGGCCTCGGAGCAGGGTGCAACTGGGAAAACACTCCCCGTCCGGGGGAACCGATCGAGAGGGACCACGCAGTTTGGCGGTACTGTAAGGTGTCACCGTGGTTTTTGAGCAAGGGAGATCCGGGAATCTTTTGAGGGGAAAGAAGGGCATGCGGGTGGCGGGACCAAGGAGGTCTTTACCGTTCCCAAACAGGTAGGTAGATAGGAGGGAGGTGGTAGCACTACGGAAAAGACTGACGCATTTGGCCTCATTTACAAAGGTTTTTGAATTTATAGCAGCTCTCAGAACCGGCAGATTTAATTCAGATACATAATTGGGCCCTTCTGCCTGATACTCTCGGAGCTGAACGAGAATCGATTACCTGGGGACACTTTCTGTTGTGTTCTCTTGGAAAAAAGGAATGTAAAAAGGTGTATTGAGGTGCTATCAGGTGAATAGTTTTCCTATTTAATTGATTTTAAGCAAAAAACAGGTGAATTCATCTCTTGGTAATTTCAGATTGGTCTTTGAATACTTGATTTGGCTACAGAATGTAAGTGGTTGGCTATTGCCTTTTTTCAGATCATTGGTACAGATAGTCCTTCACTTACAACAGTTCATTTAGTGACCATTTGAAATTAAAATGGCTCTGAAAAAAGTGACACAACAGTTTTTCACATTTATGACCATTGCAGCATCCCCATGGTCATGTGAGCATAATTCAGACACTTGGCAACTGACTCATATTTATGATGGTTGCAGTGTCCCAAGATCATGGCTGTGGCTCCCGGCATCCCGATATAGTTAGTTGACTCCATCACTGACTATTGGGGGCGAGTCTTTGGCCCCCACAGAAAGGGCTCGCAATCTGGGAGTCCTCCTGGATATGCAGCTGTTCCTCCAACATCTGACGGCTGTAACCAGAGGGACCTTTTGTCAGGTTCGCCTGATTCGCCAGTTGCGGCCCTTTCTTGATCGGGATTCCCTGTGCACAGTCACTCACGCCCTCATCACCTCTTGCCTTGACTACTGCAACGCTCTCTACATGGGGCTCCCCTTGAAGAGCACCCGGAGGCTCCAGCTGGTCCAGAATGCAGCAGCGCGGGTAGTGACAGGAGCAGCATGGCGCTCCCATGTAACACCGCTCCTGCGCGAGCTGCACTGGCTCCCGGTGGTCTTCCGGGTGCGCTTCAAGGTATTGGTCATTACCTTTAAAGCACTCTATGGCATAGGGCCTAGTTATCTTCGAGACTGCCTGCTGCTACCGATGACCTCCCATCGACCCGTGCGCTCCCACAGAGAGGGCCTCCTCAGGGTGCCATCAGCCAAACAATGTAGGCTGGTGACCCCCAGGGGGAGGGCCTTCTCCGTGGGGGCACCTACCCTCTGGAATCAGTTGCCCCCAGAGATAAGGAGAATCCAAGACCTCAATGCCTTCCGCCGTGCCCTTAAAACCCACTTTTTCCAGCAAGCCGGGCTGGCTTAAGAAATTTTTAAATGTTTTAATTGGTTTGTGATTTTTAATTCTTGGGCCAAATTTATATATATTTTAATTGTTTTTTAATATTTGTATTTCATGTTCTTAATTCTGGCTGTACACCGCCCTGAGTCCTCAGGGAGAAGGGCAGTATATAAATTGGAAATAAAATAAATAAATAAATAAATGTGATCATCTTTTGAGACCTTCTGACAAGCTAAGTCAATGGGGAAACCAGATTCACTTAACAACCATGTTACTAACTTAAGAACTGTAGTGATTCACTTAACAACTGAGGCAAGAAATGTCGTAAAGTGGGGCAAAACTCATTTAACAAATGTCTCACTTAGTAACAGAATTTTTTGGCTCAACTTTGATCATAAGTTGAGAACTACCTCTAGTTTAGACTGGTAGTTTCTTTATTCAGAACTAAACAGGTCTTGTGACTGCCTCTTCTTATTTCTGAGCTCAGAATAACTCAACCAGGGTTTACACATCAAACTAAACTGAAACTCGAATTACATCTGGGCTTAAAGTGCCATAAGAATCAAGTTAATGTTTTCTAGTCCTTGGTGGTATATTCAGTAGTAAAGAACTATAACTGGTTACATTATTTCTCTTCGTGACCTGTCAGTTCATGCAGAGAGCATGCTCTTTATATACCGTGTTTCCCCGAAACTAGGACATGTCCCAAAACTAAGGCCAAGCCTGATTTTTGGGGTAGGCGTAAATATACACCTTCCCCTGAAAATAAGCCCTCCAGCAAGCGTGGCTGTTTTTGCCATGGATTGCGGCCATTTCTGCAGCAGGAGGCCAAGCGATGTGCCCCATGTGCCTCGCGTCAGCCTTCTGAAGGGTACTGTAGCAGCAGCTATCCACAATTTTTTTACCCTTATTTCGTCCCGACCGTACTGGGCCATGTGGGTCAGGATGAAATAAGGGTTAACAAATTGTGGATAGCTGCTGCAATGGTACCCTTTGGAAGGCCGGCGCAAGGCGCGAGTCTCCTGCTGCAGAAGTGGCTGCGCCCGAGGAGCGCTTTTGGGAGAGAATGCAAAGGGGAAGCGATCTCTTGCAAACTCTCGCCCTGCTCCCGCCTCTCCACCGGGCAACTCCCAGCAGCCCCAGATGCCCAAACCCCGTGCCTGCCTGGCTCCCTTTTCCACAGTGCCCAGCTCTTTATTGAGGAGGGTGGGGGAGAAGCGAGAGGCATGGAGCGAGACAGGGCTCGCTCTTCTTGCCGTTTCTTCTCCCCCTCTTGCCGGGTATGGCAGGGCTTCCTGCCCCAATTGGATGCAATTTGGGGATGGCAAATGAGGAGGGGTGGGGCTGGGGAGACATGAAATGTGTCTTACCTGCCTTGTAGCTCCGTCGCGTGTCTTGCTGTTGTTTGCAGGCAAACAATGTTGTAGGGTAAAAGAAACATCGCGAGTTCAAACTTCTCGTGAGAAGTTTGGCTTTACCCTACAACATGTTTGCCTGCAGACAATGGTGAGATATGCGACAGAGCTACAAGGCAAGTAAGACCTGTGTTTTGTGTCTCCCCGGCCCCACCCCTCCCCACCTGCCATCCCCAAATTGCATCCAATTGGGGCAGGAACAGGAAGCCCTGCCATGCCCGGTGAGAGTGGGAGAAGAGATGGCAAGAAGAGCAAGCCCTGTCTCACTCCATGCCTCTCACTTCTCCCTGCCCTACCTGCCATCCCCCTTGACAAAGAGACAGCAGGAAAGGGCAGAAGCCAGGCTGCTGTTACCATTGGAGTGCGTGGAGCCATCTTATCTGCCTTGCAGCTCTGTCGCGTGTCTCATCATTGTCTGCAGGCAAACACGTAGGGTAAAAAAAACCTCATGAGTTCAATCAAACTTCTCAAACTCGCAAGAAGTTTGGTTTTACCCTACGTGTTTGCCTGCAGACAACAGCGAGACAGCGACAGAGCTGCAAGGCAGGTAAGACGCGTGTCTCGCATCTCCCCAACCCCTGGCGAGGGGGGGGAGAAGAGATGGCAAGACACGTCTTGCTTCTCCCCCCTCAATAAAGAGCCGGGTGCTATGGAAAAGGGAGCCAGGCGGGCTCAGGCTTTGGGCGTCTGGGGCTGCTGGGGGTTGCCTGGCAGAGAGGTGGGAGCAGGGTGGTAGTTTGCAGGCGAGGGGGTTGGATGGATGGATGGATGGGAGCGAATAGCTGCCACAGTAGCGCAACACAGCAGAAGCTATGAGGTGGCCATGCTCGCTGTCTCCTGCACCCCCAAAATAATAAGACACCCCCCCCCCCGATAATAAGGCCAAGCCCTTATTTCGGGGTTCAAAAAATATAAGACAGGGTCTTATTTTTGGGGAAATGCGGTATTAATTAAAATACGCTTTTGAAAAATGAAAATAAGGGAAATGATGGTACTGTCAACATGTTTTTATCATTTGGTATCCAGAGAAAATTGTGAAATAGTAACTTTTCTTTATTGTGTTTTTACATCTAGTTCTTATATGATACGTGATATGGGCAATTATTTAATTAAGGATTGATACAGCTTTGAATCTGCTTTGTCCAGTAATTAAGATGATTAAATCCGAAATTCTGAAAAGTCACTCATCTATTCCTCATTCTGATGATGTAATAATTGCTTGTGAAGATGGGTCTTTCCAAAAAACAGGGCAGAAGACAAGGATTGTAGGTCCTGAAGAAGTAAAACAATTAGCCCAAAATCAGGTATCTGACTTAGTATCTGACTTCAAGCAACAGAAACTTGAGAAAGAAGCACAAAAGAACTGGGATCTATTCTACAAAAGAAACAGCACCAATTTTTTCAAGGACAGACACTGGACAACAAGAGAGTTTGAAGAATTAAAAGCCTGTGGTAAAGTGAGTTTCACATTCTCTGGCACCAGATGGCAATAAAGAACTACTATAGAAAAATACCTGAATTGGAAGCCTATCTAATTTACAGGTGTCAAATTCACCATGTCACATTCACCATGTCACATTGCTGTCATGTGATGTATCACAATGTTTTTCCCCTTTGCAGAGCTGGGTGGGTGTGGCCTGCGCGTGACGCATCTGGTCCATGGGCCGCCAGTTTGACACCCCTGCGTCTAACTGATCTTACGTTATGCATGCTATAAAATTCAGGCTAGGCTGGTGCAATATATTTCTTTGCATATTCCATGATAAGAGTTGAGATGGAAATGTTAATATTAATGTCAATCAGTTCCTTGGTATCAATTTGATTGAAGATGATTCATTTTTTTAGTGGTGAATCTGGTCCCAATTCCCAAAAGACGGGGGTGTTGTGCTGTTTGACACAAGTATCCATTCAATGAACAAATGGAGTTCCTGGACTAAATTCTTAACATTTTGTCACTATCAAAAAACAGTAAGGATCAGCTAAGTAGTAAATGTTGGTCTCTATTCAGAGTGACACATCAAAAGGATTAGATGGATTCTGGGCAATTTTGTCCAGTTTGTTGATAAAGTAATTTCCATGATTAAGTAATAATCCTTTTCATATAAAATACAAAAGTATTATGAATTCTGTTTTTAATTTAATCTTTAATTTCATTAAACTATCTTTGACTAATCTTATGCTTCTAATTCACTAGATCCATGATGGTGAACCTATGGCATGCGTGCCAGAGGTGGCACACAGGGCCCTCTCTGCTGGCATGCGTGCCGTCGCCCCAGGTCAGATCTCCGTGGCATTTCTTTCGTGAGCTTCTGTTTCCCTGCAAATGACGAAACAGAAACTTATGAAAGAAAAAGATCTTATCTCTTGCTGCGCTGCCGTGTTGGGATGCCGCGCTTCCCCCCAGCCAGCTGGTCTTCGGGTCTCTGCTGCGCATGTGAGCATACCCACGCATGTCCGTGCACATGTGCATGTCTCTGCATGTTTGCATGTGCGCATGCCCGTGTGTGTGCATGCACACACATGCCTCAGTTTGGGCATGTGCACACGCACAGTTTGGGCATTCAGTGTCTAAAAGGTTTGCCATCACTGCATTAGATGATTCCATCTGCTGTAAGTATCAAGATGTAACACTTGAATAAATTGTATGACTTGAATCTCAAGAGGTGTTAATTTTAGTTGCTTTTAAATGAAGGTTTTCTTGCTTTTCAATAAAACCACTATTTAATGGGAGTATTATAAAACCACATTTTATTTTCAGTCATTAATTTGGGAATACATCTTTGTGGTGATTGGATAATCTGTTGTGTGGGATCCAGTGAATGGAAGTTCACTGTAATAAATTTGATTCTAAAAGCTAATGTTAGTCCAAAAATTAATTCACTTTGAAAGGATCAGACAATTACAACTATTATTTTCTCATGTTTTCAGTTTGAAGATCAAAAATTGACAATTCTGGAAGCAGGTTGTGGTGTTGGGAACTGTTTATTTCCACTTCTAGAAGAAGATTTGAATATGTTTGCTTATGCTTGTGACTTCTCTCCCCGAGCAGTGGAATATGTAAAGGTTAGTAAAATATTTGTCATTTTTTTCTTCCATAAAGTGAATACATGCATTTGAAAGATAAGTGTCTTTAAAAATAAGTGAAGAGAAAGCAAAAATGGCATCAAGACATTGGTATCACTATATTGGTTTAGATCTGATAAAATTAATTAGAATTAGATAATAATTATTAACTGAAATCCTATTTTTAATGTCTATGCATAGCAATGTCAGAATCTGTATTTAGGTCATTTAGGAACTACCGTATTTTCTGGCGTATAAGACGACTTTTTAACACATGAAAATCTTCTCAAAAGTCGGGGGTCGTCTTATACGCCGGGTGTCATTCTCCTGTAACCAGGCAGACCAGCCCAAAAGGCTCTGACGAGCCTTAAATGGCTCTGGCGATCCAAGCTCTGACGATCCCAGCTGAGTTGCCTGCTAATCAGGCAACGCAGCTGGGATCGCCAGAGCCATGTAAAAGGAAAAAAGTTTTCCCCCTCCAACTTGCTTACCTTAGCTGCTAGTCGCAACGCTTGCCTTGCTTCGCTTGCCTGAATCCATTCCATCAGCAAACCACTCCCTGCCTGCAATCAAGCAGGCAGGGAGTTGTGGACTTCAACTCCCAGAATTCCTCAGTCAGCAAAACAAAGCTGGCTGAGAAATTCTGGGAGTTGAAGTCTACAAGTCTTAAAGTTGCCAAGGTTGGAGACCCCTGTTCTATTGGGTAAGTTTTTTTCCCCTTTGGGAGCTTTAAAAAAAATAGTTAATTGGGGGTTTTTTTAGTTGTTCTTTTTTAGACCTAGCCATTTAAAGTTTAGGAAGTTTTAAATTTAGTTTTCATATAAAAATAAAATAAAATAAAATAATATTTGTGCAGCTTTCTGAGATTTAGTGTGTTTCTGTAGTGTTTCACTCTAACTACACAAACACACAAAATCTCACAAAGCTGTATGTGGAATTTTGTGTGTGTAAAGTATGAAAGTTGGTTTTTTTGGGCTTTTTGTGGCTGTGTGAGGTTCCTGCTTGTTGCAGGGCCATTTTGGGTCTAGCACAGCTGCTTTTACATTGTGGGTGAGCCAGTTGTGTTGTGTTTTGTTGTGTGTGTGTAAAGTGTGAAAGTTGTTTTTTTGGGCTTTTTGTAGCTGTGTGAGGTTCCTGCTTGTTGCAGGGGCCATTTTGGGTCTAGCACAGCTGCTTTTACATTGTGGGTGAGCCAGTTGATGTTTTTTAATTTTTATTTGGTGTGCGTTGGAAGAGGGGTAGTCTTATATGGCGAGTATAGCCCAAACCCTATATTTTAACAGGAAAATTTGGGGGTCGTCTTATACGCCCAGTCGTCTTATACGCCGGAAAATATGGTAATAGTTTTTCATTTGAACTACCTATTTACCCATTTGTTTAATTTGATATGGTAATCCATTAGATTATCTTAACCTGGAATTTGAGTTTTATGCTTAGTAAATAAATATTACTCAGAAGATTATAGAACAGAGCATCTAAATTACTTATTTTAAATAAATAAGTAAGCCTTACAAAATACCTATGATGCTGAGTCACTATAGAAAAAACAAATACCTAATACAATAAAAGATCCACACCCAAAAGCTGGAAGAAATACATATGTACAATTTTATATGTTATAATAATCAGGTTTGCTTTTTCTGTCTTATACTGAGTTGAGCAGAGAGGAAAACGTGCATGCAGAAAAAATTGAAAAATTTCTTCTGCATGTGCATAAAAAAAAACCTCAGCAACTTTAAGAAGTGTGGATTTGAAGTCCATGCATCTTAAAGTTGCTGAAATTGAAAAAGTTATCTAAAGATACTAGTTTGGGAAAGGTTGTGATTCATATTTATTACCTGCTTTTCTGTCTTCATTTCAACACTGAGTGAGATTATAATGAATAGCTTCAAAATATCCACTATCTAAACCAGTATTTTGCAAATTTGGCAATTTTAAATATAAAGATTTCAGCTCTCAGAATTCCCTACCTAAGCTATTCTGTATTATTCTGTGTTCCATTCTTCTGTATGATATACTATGCTAGCTTCAGATTTCAAAATAAGAACTTAAATAAGGTTGTACCATATGTTTGTATGTTCATTTCACAGCAAAATCCTCTATATGATGCCAAAAGATGCAAAGTATTCCTGTGTGACCTGACCAAAGATGATCTTGTGGAAAATGTACCATTAGAGTCAGTAGATGTGATTATGTTAATATTTGTACTTTCTGCCATTCATCCTGAAAAGATGCATTTAGTTTTGAACAATATTTATAAGGCAAGTCTGCAGGGCTATAATAATGTTTTTTTGCCATAAGCATGTATTTCTGCTTTGAAAAGTTGTAATACGGAATCTGTGGGATAATTGTCTTAAATGCAAACTAAGGTTATTCTCAGGTTCAAACAAATAATGGTAACTGATTCAAGCTGTGAAATGTGTTTTATGACAACTGTAAAATTTATTTTTCTAGTGTAGGTATAATTAATATGGAATGATATTTGAATAAAAGTCACACTTTTAAACCTTTTTATAATGAAATGAAATTGTATGAAGTTTGTTTAACAGGGCCAAGCCAAAGTGGCACAAAATGTTCCACTTTTATCATTACATGATTTTGTGTATTAATTAAGTCCATCTTAATATGTTTCATATTTTTCTCAGGTATTAAAACCAGGTAAATATGTTCTGTTCAGAGATTATGGCCTTCATGACCATGCAATGCTGAGGTTTAAATCTGCTTGCAAGCTGGGAGAAAACTTCTACGTACGACAAGATGGAACCAGATCATACTTTTTTTCTGATGGTGAGATCTTAATTAAGATATTATATCTTAATTAATTGATATTAATATTATCTGAAATAATATTTCATTTACACACACACACACACACACACACACACACACACACTAGTAAACACCCAACAAATACTGAGAAATAGGAAAAGTTTACAAAACAAAAATCTGTCAGAACAAAAATACAATGTATTTATAGTAATTTATAAATAAACCCAAGGTATTTGTATTGAAAGGTTTTCTACAGTACAAACGTGCTGATGAAGAAAATCATTTGTTCAACAATAAAGGAAAGTAGATATGTTTAAACATCAAAAAGCTGCAAACAGCAGCTTCAACATCAGAAAAAAGTTATTTAATAACTATTAACATTCATTTTGGTATGTATATAATCCTTTTCTAATAATGTAAATTTGTGTAACTCCGAATTTAATAATAGTCACTACAAGTATAAACCTAAAGAAACTACGTCCTCCAACATTCCTTTTATATCCAATTTCAGCAATTAAGGATTTAAGGATTTCTTCTTTCTTAAGATAATACTTTCTTGTGTTCTTAAAAGCAATGAGAATCTGACTAAATCAGCATTTCTCAATCTTTGTAACTTTCAGATATGCTGATTTCAGCTCTCAGATGAATAGGATTTCAAGTCCACATATCTGAAAGCTGCTGAGATTGAAAAACACTGGACTAAATTATACTAAAAAGTTTAGTCCAGCTTCTTCTTACTCACCCTGGCTGGGCAGGTGCATAGGGAAGCCCCAAGTAGGACAACCTCCCACTTTTCAAAGAAATAAAAATGTTATTGGCTCTTAGCTGTCAAATGGTGATAGAAGGTAAAGAATATGAGGGCAGTCTTATATAATAATAATTTGTAAAATGTCCAGAGTTAACTTGTAGGAGAAATGAGCAGCATAGAAATTTAATAAATACATAAAAAATAACCCACCAGAGATATTTCTATTTTATAACCAGCTGCAAAGGGATTTGACAACTGCCCAATTTCAGTAAGAGCTTCTATTGAGATATCTTTGAAGCTGAGCCCTGCTGCCTCAAATGATCTCCAGGTTTTCTCAAAAAATATTTTATTAAAAAAAACTATTGATTGTTAATGATACTTAGATTATTTAAAAGATATATCTTAAGATATATCTTAAGTACTTCATAAAGGAGCAATCCATACTTAGCAGCTTTCTTGGGCAAATGGAAGGAAAATCTGACTTTGGATATTGCATCATTTTCTGCAGTGATGCCTATCTCTTTTTAAACAATCAACAAAACCATTTTTCATTTTTTGTTTTAAAGAATAACCTGCCTATTTAGGATTTGTATCATTTCGTCTTTGTACTTTAATACAAATTTCTTAAAAATATTCTTCCTTCTAGAGTTTTTGGCAGAACTTTTCCTGTCTGTGGGATATGAAGAAATAGTTAATGAATATGTGTTTCGAGAAACTCTGAACAAAAAAGAAAATTTATGTGTGCCAAGAGTTTTTCTCCAAAGCAAATTTCGAAAGCCTCAGAAATAAGTTTTTGCTGATAAATTGTTGAACAATTGAAGTTCAAGGCTACTTTCTTATGTTATTCAATTTAAACCAAGTTTTATATCAGGCCTATGGGACAAAATAAACCTAGCACTTGCCTCGTCCTCTTCTATTGATAAAATCTTGAAGATAGCGGAAGACTCTGCTTCTATTTTAAATATAATTCAATAATTTTGGGATTAAACTACCAGCTTTCAGATTATAATTCAGGATCACAAAGTTTTCCTTGGCAAGAATGCTTATTATCAAGCAGATTCCTGAAGTTATATAATAAACTCATATATAAGCAGTGCCTGAGTTCACATCAGCTTTCTTGACACAACATAGTGAGCCAGTACTAGCTTACTACATCTACTTAACCTAACATGATGTGCATATCTAGAGATGGTTGGTTAGTTTACAGTTCAGTGTGACTTTTAAACCCAAAGTTTTTTGCTAACCCATTGTAGCCATAGTTGTAGACACATAGTATGTCACTACGCCTGTAGTTTATTTTGTTGATTATGAACCCCTTCTGTGGGTTCTGAATCTTAAATTGTGATTTAATGTTTTGTGCAATCCCAGCTCATTGTCAAATAAATTGGGGGGGGGGAGAGAGAGAGAGACTGAACTCAGCTAATGTTAGATAGGCACACTGGATGCCAAAATTAGATAGCTGAAAGATAGCTTCATACACATATATCTTGCTCATATACTTTGAAATACTCTGCTGCTGACAAAATAATTTTGAACAGAACAGAACAGAACAGAACAGAATAGAATTCTTTATTGGCCAGGTGTGAATGGACATACAAGGAATTTGTCTTTGGTGCATATGCTCTCAATGTACACAAAAAGACAAGATACATTCGTCAAGAATCATAAGGTACAACACTTAATGATAGTCATAGGGTACAAATAAGCAATCAGGAAACAATATCAATATAAATCGTAAGGATACAAGCAATAAAGTTACAATCATGCAATCAAGTGGGAGGAGATGGGTGATAGGAATGATGAGAAGACTAATAGTAATTGTAATGCAGCTTTAGTGAATAGTTTGACAGTGTTGAGGGAATTATTTGTTTAGCAGAGTGATGGCATTTGGGAAAAAACTGTTCTTGTGTCTAGTTGTCTTGGTGTGGAGTGCTCTATAGCGTCGTTTTGAGGGTAGGAGTTGAAACAATTTATGTCCAGGATGAGAGGGGTCTGTAAATATTTTCACAGCCCTCTTTTTTAAACATTTTTATTTATAACACAACACAATGTAACAAACACAAAATACATAATATAAGTTCCCTTTTTACAACTGTTTCGTAACAGTCATCTTCTTACAGCCCTCTTTTTGACTCGTGCAGTATACAGGTTCTCAATGGAAGGCATGTGGTCCTGCAGTCCTTACCTTGTGAGCGAAAGGATTAATGATGTGTTTGAGAATTCTAATGATGGCAGTGTTTCTGTTTTCATGTGATTCTGATCCTAGCTTTTTGGTGCCTGTCCCCAAAGTTAGGGTCAGAATCACATTGTTGCAGTTACATGATTGCAGTTTGCAATCAAACACAACAATGATGAAACCAGCAGGAAGTCAGAAGTTCCAGAGATTTGAGGTTCTCACTTAATAACTCATATAGTCCTCACTTTAAAATGTTAGCTATATAATAAGAATTGCTCTTGTTATATAACACCGTCATGTGATATTATACTTTATGACTGCATCACAGCGATAGCAATTCTGGTTCCATTGCCATTGAACTAACTGAATATTGTAAATTGGAGAAACAAGCAAATGCTTCCTTGAATGCAGAAGGCAGTTGTCTGCTGTCAGACAGGAAAACAAGACATAGTTTGATTGATAGAGTTGGGATGAAGCTAGAAATTCTTGTATTTAGCATTATTGGACTATAGATACTTGACATGCTCATTTAGAGGCCTAGCTATATTCACACAACTCATTAACCAGTTTTAAGTGAACCATTGTCAGTTGTCAATGTTCAAAAAGTACATTGAAGCATAGATCATACTGGCTGAAATAACACAATACATTAAGACACAAACCCAAATGAAGGTATAGTCATTGATACTGGTTTGGTTCAACCTATTAGACTAGGCTAAATTTGTGTATGTTTCACAATGTTCTTTCCACTTGAAATGGGGAAAATTGTTAAAGGAGGATGGCTACTTCTGTTCTAATAAGAACAGACTTCAGTGTCTTCAGTTTTCTGACAGTAAGTAATAGGAAGTAAGCAGGCTGTGTTTGAAACATTCCATTAGTGTTGGTGTTACCACTTCTTGCATCCAGAGTGCAACAAGCCCAAATTATGTCCTATGTTAGGACATTTTTTTTAAATGTTGCAAAAGCTGGGCTCTCTTACTACACTAAATATTTGCTTAAGTATGATTAATTGACCAAACTGCAATTGGCTTAGCCTTTGTGCCATTAAATAACAAAAATGTTGGATTAGATGTGAGTTGAGAGGTCTGTGATAGGAATTTCCTGATGTTTTCCTGGCCCAAATAGATGGGAACTTTGGGTCATGTGGCCCTTGACCAAATTGCAAAATCATTTTCCTAGTAATCATTATGACTTGGATCAAAACAATCTGTCTCTTGTGCTGGCAGCCCACTAGGCAGGAAGTAAGAGGGAGGGAGGGAGAAGCAGATGTAAAAAAAACAGGGCTGGCAGAAAAACAGTAAGGGGAAAAGGTGGCTATGTTCACCCTAGTCCAGGGGTGTCAAACTCACGTCATGACGGCATCACGTGACGTATTGGGACTTTTTCCCCTTTGCTAAAATGGGAGTGGCATGGCCAGCACATGATGCATCCGGCCCTTGGGCTGGGAATTTGACAGTCCTGCTCTAGGCTATGCTTTCCCTATCACATAATCCTATGAAATCACAATGCTCATTCAGGTTTAAAACCAGTTAGCAGGAAAGCCAAGTTTCAGTCAAGTCATGGTGATGGGCTGAAAAGCTAATCTTTTATTCTAGAGTTATGTTCCTCGTTTTCATTTTATGAAACTTATAAATCACAAGAGATTAGAAGAATAGGGTAGGTACCGTCTCCTCTTTATTTATTACTGAGCCTCGGTGGTGCAGTGGACTAAGTGCTGTTAAGTGCTAGCACTTAGCTGCCAGCTGCCTGCAATTAGTGCGAATTCAAATCTCACCAGGCTCAAGGCTGACTCAGCCTTCCATCCTTTCGAGGTAGGTAAATTGAGGACCCGGATTGTGGGGGCAATAAGCCAGCTTTGTATAGAACAACACCGCTTGGGGGGGGGGCGAAAGCCCTAATAAGCAGGTATATACATAAAAGTATGCAGGCTATTGCTATAATGCATTGTAAGCCGCCCTGAGTCTATGGAGAAGGGTGGCATATAAATTGGACTAATAAACTGCTGGCATAAAAACTTGTATGAAGAAAGCTGAATCCAGTCAGCTATTACACTCAGGTTAAGGAAGCCATGACTTAGTGTATGAACACCAGGGCTGGATTTTCCTATAGGCTAACTAGGCTTCAGCCTAGGGCCTCAAGATCAAGAGGGGCCTACACAGTGGTGGGATTCTGGGGGTTCTAGGGGGTTCGGCCGAACCCTTTGTTAAATTGCTGGCTCGCCCCGCCCCTTGCCCCGCCCCTCCGCACTATTATTTATTTCCAATAAATGGGGTGGGCAAGCCAGCAATTTAACAAACGGTTTGGTGTTTTTTTGTAATTTATTGGCCCCCGAACCGTTTGTTAAATTGCTGGCTTGCCCGCCCCTCGCCTCCCACCCGCGCGGCGCCAGCCTACCGTAGCCAGGGGTAGGCAATTGTGGCTCTTTTACAGCTTGGCTGTCTCAGGAATTCTGGGAGTTGAAGGCCACAGGTTGTAAAAGAGCCACAATTGCCCACCCCTTCCCTAGCCTGAGTTCCGCTGCCTGGGATCCACGTGGGCTGCCACGTGCTTCCCCACCGGCTCCGGACGCAAGAGAGCAGGATGGAGAAAGCAGCTTCCACGCCTTCACTCACCCTCACTCTCTGCCGTTCGCTTACCCCGCCCACTCCCAATCTATTGCTGCCTCCGATGGCTAGAGGAAAAAAAAACTTCAAATTCTTGCCGCGGGGCTTCAAAGGGCCGCCCTAGAGCCAGTGGTGCAGCCGAACCCTTTGTTAAATTGCTGGCTTGCCCTGCCCCTCCGCACCACTATTTATTGCCAATAAATAGTGGTGGGCGAGGGGCGGGGGAGCCAGCAATTTAACAAAGGGTTCGGTGTTTTTTTTGTAATTTTATTGGCCCATGGAGCTTCAGCATAGGCTAATTGGCCCTTGCTTAGATCAGCTCCCAACCCCCAGCTGATTTGCTCTCAGCTGTTTTGCTCAGAGCTCTGCTGCTTGCTTGGAAAGAGTGCAGATTTTTTTCCCCCTAGTTATACTGAAAAACGAAAGAGAAAGTAAAGCAGGCTGTTGGCTTTGCACGTTTGAAAATTAGGCAGGCAGATAGATTTCTTTTTCCTCACCAAAAAAGGTAGGTGCAAACAACATGAAATTTAGGGAAAAAGAGGAGATTTTAAAACACAAAAGAAAAAAAGCTCTATTTAACTAGGGAATTGTAATAATTGAGATACTATTAATTGTATATTGTGTTGAAAGCAGAAATGGTTAAGTTGTGGTTTGGAGGAATATATGGGGGAAATTATTTGGTTTATTATTATTGGTAAATATAATTAATTGATTTGTAAGAAATTGGATTGCATGGAAATAATTGGAATATTCATGTTCATATTGATTAATATACAAAAAAGATAGTTATATAACTAATTGATTTATATTAAAAGGCTTTTAGTCATGGGTGATTTCAACTTGCCATCCGTCGGTGAAACGTCTGAGGTGGCTCGGGAGTTCATGGCTTCCATGACGGCCATGGACCTGACCCAGTTAGTTCATGGCCCTACTCACAGGGGAGGTCACACTCTGGATCTGATTTTTGTCTCTGGCCAGTGGTTGAGTGGTCTTGTTATAGGGGATATAGACATGGAACCCTTGTCATGGTCTGACCACTCACTCCTTCGCCTAGATCTTCGAACCGCGACCCCTCGCCGCAGGGAGGTGGATCCAATTAGATGGATCCGCCCCAGGCGCCTGATGGATCCTGATAGGTTCCAGACGGAGCTTGGGCCATTTCCTGAGGATCTAGCACATGACTCGGCCGAGGACCTGGTAGCCGCCTGGGATCGGGCGGCTGGTGGGGCCTTGGACCGAGTTGTGCCTTTGCGGCCTCTGACCCGATGCCGATCCCGTGCGGCTCCTTGGTTTACTGAGGAGCTGAGGGAAATGAAGCGCCGGAAAAGACGCCTGGAGAGCGGTTGGAGGGCCAGTCTCGCTGAATCTGATCGAACACTGGTAAGGTCGCATATTAAGGCCTACCTAGTGGCGATAGAGACGGCAAAGTCTAACTACTTTTCCGCCTCTATTGCGTCATCAGGGAATCGTCCGGCTGCCCTGTTTAGGGTGACCCGCGCCCTGCTCCATCCAGGAGTGCAGGAGGATCCCTTAGAAGGCAGGGCGGAGGATTTCGGACAATACCTGTATGACAAAATCGCCCAGATCCGGGGGGATTTGGACTCTGACTGGGTAGATCAGGGCAGGGTGACGAGGAATAGTCTTGAGAATGTTATCTGGGAGGAGTTTGATGCTGTGACTCCTGATGATGTGGACAGGATTTTGGGGAGACTTAGTGCGGCCACATGTTTACTGGACCCGTGTCCCTCCTGGTTGGTACTGGCTTCCCGGGAGGTTACACGAGGCTGGCTCCAGGGTGTTATCAACGCTTCGTTGAGTGAGGGTTACTTCCCCACCGCCTTGAAAGAGGCGGTGGTGAGGCCTCTCCTCAAGAAGCCGTCCCTGGATCCGGCAATATTGGCCAACTATCGTCCTGTCTCCAACCTTCGCTTTATGGCGAAGGTTGTTGAGAGTGTGGTCGCACGACAGTTTCCGCAATTCCTGGAGGAAACATCTTATCTAGATCCGTTCCAGTCGGGTTTCAGGTCTGGGCACAGCACAGAAACGGCATTGGTCGCGTTGGTTGATGATCTCTGGAGGGCTCGGGACAGGGGTTGTTCCTCTGTTCTGGTCCTGTTAGACCTCTCAGCGGCTTTTGATACCATCGACCATGGTATCATGCTGCACCGGCTGGAAGAGTTGGGGGTGGGAGGCACCGTGTTGCGGTGGTTCTCCTCCTTTCTCTCCGACCGGTCGCAGTTTGTGTTGGCAGGGGGGCAGAGGTCGACCTCGAGGCCTCTCATTTGTGGAGTGCCGCAGGGATCGGTCCTCTCGCCCCTTCTGTTCAACATTTATGTGAAGCCGCTGGGTGAGATCATCCGTGGCTTTGGGGTGAGATACCACCAGTACGCTGATGACACCCAGCTGTACATCTCCACCCCAGGCCACCCCAACGATGCCCTTGAAGTGATGTCCCAGTGCCTGGAGGCTGTACGGGTCTGGATGGGGAGGAACAGGCTCAAGCTCAACCCTTCCAAGACTGAGTGGCTGTGGCTCCCGGCATCCCGATATAGTCAGTTGACTCCATCACTGACTATTGGGGGCGAGTCATTGGCCCCCACAGAGAAGGCTCGCAATCTGGGAGTCCTCCTGGATATGCAGCTGTCCTTGGAGGAACATCTGACGGCTGTAACCAGGGGGACCTTTTGTCAGGTTCGCCTGATTCGCCAGTTGCGGCCCTTTCTTGATCGGGATTCCCTGTGCACAGTCACTCATGCCCTCGTCACCTCTCGCCTTGACTACTGCAACGCTCTCTACATGGGGCTCCCCTTGAGGAGCACCCGGAGGCTCCAGCTGGTCCAGAACGCAGCAGCGCGGGTAGTGACGGGAGCAGCATGGCGCTCCCATGTAACACCGCTCCTGCGCGAGCTGCACTGGCTCCCAGTTGTCTTCCGGGTGCGCTTCAAGGTGTTGGTTATCACCTTTAAAGCGCTCCATGGCATAGGGCCTAGCTATCTGCGAGACCGCCTGCTCCTACCGACGACCTCCCAGCGACCCGTGCGCTCCCATAGAGAGGGCCTCCTCGGGGTGCCATCAGCCAAACAATGCAGGCTGGTGACCCCCAGGGGGAGGGCCTTCTCTGTGGGGGCACCTACCCTCTGGAATCAGCTCCCCCCAGAGATAAGGAGAATCCAAGACCTCAGTGCCTTCCGTCGCGCCCTTAAAACCCATTTATTTAAACAAGCCGGGCTGGCTTAAGATGAAATTTTTAACTGTTTTTAAATGTTTTAAACGTTTTTAATTGGTAAATGAGTTTTAATTGGGCCAAATTTATATATCTTTTAATTGTTTTTAATATTTGTTCTGCATGTTTTTTTTAATCTGGCTGTACACCGCCCTGAGTCCTCAGGGAGAAGGGCGGTATAGAAATCCAATATAAAATAAATAAATAAAATAAAATAAAATGTTGAATTCATATTAAACAACTGTAATATTACATAATTAACCAATGTGAGGATGTATATAAAAATAGATGACAATGGGAAGGGGTATAATATAGAATAGAAGGGAAAAATTGAATTTGATTAAGATTAGAGATGAGGATGAAGGGTAATATTGGTTTTTTACAAAAATAGATGAGGAATAAATATGGCAAAAACGAAATATAGAAATTGTAAATTTAATTGAAATGACTAAACACTGTTTAAATTTATGAACCGGCCAAATACTCTGTTCAAAGAAAATACATTGTATGTTTGTATGTGTGTTTCTAATTATTGCTATTTATTCATATTTGTTCTCTTTTATTCTTTAAAGTTTAACAATTCATTCTTTATCTTAATATCTTTATATTTGTTTGGGGTTGGCTTTCTTCCCTTTCATCTTTTTTATTGTACAGCAATCTTTCTCCTCAAACCTACCACCGCTCTCTTTTCTTTCCTTCTTACTTTCTCTTCCTCCCCCTCTTCTTCTCCTCCCTACTTCCTCTTCCTTTCTCCTTCTCCTCCTCCCTTCCTCCCTCTCTTACCCTCCCTCCTACACTAATTTCCCTTCCCTTCCTTCATCCCTCTCTAA